CTCATGGGGTGGGGACAGCGGGGCTGGCCAGGGCAGAGGGGGAGGAGGCGAACCCGCCAGCAGGAAGTAGGGCTTAGGGGAGGTAAGCGAATCGGCCAGCAGGGAGCAGGACCGAGCAATGCCGGGTAACTCCAGCTAATTTCAGATATAACAACCAGGAGGCAAATTCCAGAAACATTCTTACAATGCAGCTTCTGTATTCTGTGCACAGCCCAGACGTTCAGAAACAAGCCTCAAAACAAGCCCTTAGTTGAAGCCAAGACTTTATAAGACTGTTGCCAGTCATGTGCACTGCTAACTAAGGTGTAGAAGAGCTGACCTGTGTATCACCACATCATTCTTTTGCCCCACGCGGTATATGCGGTCGCATGCCTGGTCTTCAAGTGCAGGATTCCTGAAAAGCAAGAAAACTGCTCAGTCTAGTGGCTTATTAACCTTAGAAACAATGAAGACATGTATCAGTTGTCCTTGTTCTCAGCCATCTGTCCCACACATTGTGATGCTACTTATTCCCTCTAGCCAAGAAACCTGATCTCCTCCTAAGCTCCATTACAGTTCAGCACACCAAATAACCCACCTAAAATGAGATGCGCCCCAGGCCCCTGTTGAAGATCTGCTACCTCTTCCAGTGAAGCTTGCATTACGCACTGGAACTGCTATACCAAATCAAACTAGTGGTCCAGCTAGTTTTTCTGTCTGATCATGGCCTGTGCCAAGTGCTTCAAAGGAAAGAAACTGCATAACAAGCAAAGGCTTGACCCTCTGCTTGACCAACTCTAGTGAACAGCTCAATTGCTCATGACAGAAATGTCTCCCTCACACCTACGGCTTCATACTTGGCTTCTATTCTGAAGAGTTTGTGTTTTAAATCTAGCTACTACAACTATGGATGCTGCAATTATCCACATAAATGTCTAATAGTTTGGCATCCTACTAAGCTCTTGCCTCAACATCTAGTGGCAGAGCATTCCAGAGATCTGCACGTTGTACTTCTGTTTGTCAGTTTTAAATTTGATGGCTTTTCAATTGCATTGCCTGCTCCTTTGTTCTTGTAGTATGAGAGAATGTAAGACAAGACAGGTGGATTTACCTTCTCTATACCTTCTCTTGTATCTGCTGTCATTCCTTTCTCTAAAAACTGAAGAGTACAAATCCTTCCAGTTTCTTCTCACACAGGATTTCTTTATGCTTCTAATTATTTTCTGTTTAGGTATCTACAAGATCCTCATCATCATGAGTCTCTGTAAACCATCTCTGAAACCCATCTATTTCTTCTCTATCCCCCGTCCCTCCCCCTTTTTCTGGGATGGCCAGAGAAGGTGTACCACTGATTTATGTAACAGAATTTAAATATTCCTAGAGTTGCTTTGCACTTTCTTCCTTATATACCCTGACATTTGGATGCAGACTTTCTGTCACTGTGGAAAGCATAGTTCTTTCCCTGCAAGCAGTTAGAAACTTTAGAACCCTGCAATAAGTCTAATTATTGGTACTAATGCATGTCACCTCACACTTGTGAATATTATATTTCATCTATCAATGAGTTACCCATTCACTTCACTTTGTTAGATCTCGTCAAAGTTCTTCAATAGTCTTTAACACCTACTACAATGGGGCCCTAATCCATGACTTTAAGCACCACCATAACACTAACAATAATTCTATTAAAAGTTAGAATGAGTGCTCCCTTATAATTCTGCAATATAAGCAGCTAATTTTTTTTTACACCAAAGACTGCATACATTTTTGTTATGAAGACTTTATTCTCACTTTCCCACAGAACTCTTGAAAATATGCTATTCCAGTCATGGTGACTGGTTGCTCTCTAAATTTAATCATTTATCGACTTGTTTCATAACAAGCTCCATAACCTCTGACATTTTTATTTTCAGAATTGATGGCTGGGATGGGCACCTCTCTCTGTGGCAAATACTAAACATTTAGCCTTCATGTTGTTCTTATGGCACTTTATTAGTTTGCTTTGCCTACCAAGTGGCGCTTTGCTGCCATTTTCATAGTAATGGGGGGTCAAGCTGGCCACGAGTTGAATTATTTTTGAAACTTTCATTTTAAAAACCATTTTGCCTGATAGGCAAGTAATTTCAGGAATGGAAAAAGCAGGACCATGTGTTTTACATTCAACCAGACATATCCTTCCCTCATGCACAGTTTGTAAGCGCTCATGTTATCCATGCTGAGGTACAAAGCCAGTCTACTCTAAAAATTTCCATCTCACTTTACCAGTGCATGTCAAGAAGAAAGAGGTGGTTTCCGCCAATTAAGTTTAGGCCAACACCTCCTGCCAGGAGCGAGAGCAACATCACCTTTAACAACGAACAAGAAGATAAAAAGACTGGTTACTTCCAGAGATTCACCTGTTCCAAGGCCAAGTCTGATCATCTAGTCTGACTTTCTGTATGGCACAGGCCATGGAACTTCCCAAAAAACAATCCCTAGAGTGGATCTTTTAGGAAAAAAACATTGAATCTTGATTTTAAAATGGTCAGTGATGGAAAATCTAACACAGGAGTGGGCAAAAGAGCCTCCGCAGGCCAGATGAGGCCCGCCAAGCAGGTG